GCTGACTTGACAGTGACTTGCGTATTGGTTTTAACACAAGGGCTAAAGAGTTGCTCTTTGGTCCGGTTCTAAATTCCCTTGCGTTAAAGAGAGGAGGAATGAACACAAGGAACTTTTCATAATATATTGGTGATCTTTGGGCGATACACAATTCCACTGTACAAAGCACACAATTTATTAGGTCCAAAAGCTCTGGGAAAGAGGGTCTCAGCCTCAGGGATACAACATCGAGGAATCCTAATAAACTACTGAGGACCACAAAAGCGGACAGCAAGGATATGGGTACAAGCCGCACCACAAAACTGATGACCTTACTGGAGTGGACAGCAAGGATATGGGTACGAGCCGCACCACAAAACTGACGACCTTACAGGAGTGGACAGCAAGGATACAGGTATGAGCCACACCACAAAACTGACGACCTTACAGGAGTGGACAGCAAGGATACGGGTACAAGCTGCACCACAAAACTGACAACCTCACATGAACGGACAGCAAGGATACGGGTATGCGCTGCACCACAATGCCGACAACCAACGCAATGATCAGGGGTTTGAGTCCTAATGCATGGCCAAGAACACAGAAACATGGAGGCAGTTAGGCCTCAAAAGCGCGACTATTGGAGGGTACGAGCCTCCAATAAGCCGCTGAAAATTTACTTGAGCGCAGAGGTTATTAGCCTCAACAACACAAGATAGCAAATGGAATGTCTGTTAACCTCCCAACGCAGCCAAAATCTGGACTATCCAGAACTCCACCTATGCTGTTATTAGTCCATTAGTGGAACTCGTTAATAGTTATGCCCTGAACTGTGGTGGAGTTTATTCTTGGAAGCCCAAATCTGACTCTGCCTATCTCGAGTCAAAACCATGTCACCCCAACCCTGTAACACTGAGCACACACAACTTCTCCGCAAGGGGTAACTCAGCCAAAATGAGCTTACCTCAACATCCCATTTACAATGTACAAAACAGACCGTAAACACTTTCTAAGTGCAAAAAAATAGATAATATAATACAATTACAATAATGTCATCATATTTTTAATCATTTGGCAATGTAATCACAGTTAAAAGTTGAATAATCCTAAACTAATTCCATAGTGACCAAACTCTCCATCATTCATGACTACCTAGTGCGCACCATCACGAGGCCTGGAGCAGCTCAACCAATCACATTGGAGCTGCACATTCAGTCTCAGCCCAAGACACTAACAACTAAATCCTAAAAATATCACAGCTAGATGAGATTCCATTTTACAGTCATGGAATAAATATTTGTTTACACATTGCTTAGTCATACATAAATTAAACCCTTGAGTTAACAAAATAATATCACAGTTAAATGAGATTCCATATCACTGTCATAAAATAAATGTTTCTAACAATTGAATATTCCTAGAAACAAAATAATATACCACAAAATAAGCATCCTGTCATACGTAGATAGTAAGCAATATACTATCAAAGTTGCTTGCAGAACTTTCTTATTAAAAATTACCTGGCGAGGGATTTTGAAAATGGCTGGCAACGCTCTGGGCTAAAAAAACATATCTTGGTGATGCTGCTTGCACCCTCTGCACCCTGGGTAACAGGTAACTCATCTAGCTTGCCAAGCATGGAAAATATCTCCCTTTAGGGCCGCAACTAGAATTTCCTGCGGAAGATCCTGCCATTTCCAGAACCATGAGATTCCTGCCAGATAAATTACCTTCTGTCTAGTTGTTAACAAAAGTGCACATTCAGTCCGCGAGTTTCCAAATTTATTAAAAATGCTAATTATGCTTCTCCAATCTCCATAAATTGTGATTTATGATCCATATGGCAAATGTGCCATATATCAATCTACACGCTACGATCAAAACTACGTATAGTAGCGCATAGTTATGATAGCTGTGAGAGCGTATATTTGAGCAGCCAAGCACAAGTGCTCACAGCCACCTGAACTATGCACTGTAGCACCCAGTTCCAATGGCTGTGAGAGCTGCATTTGGACAACAAGCATATGCACTCATAGCCACTTGAACTACGCAATGTAGTACGCAGTTTGTATGATTGTGAGAGGCACGGAGAGCACAAGTTTGGGCACCCAAGCAAACGCGCTCAGAGCTACTTGAGCTACGCAATGTAGCATGCAGTTCCGATGGTTCTAAGTGCATATATCTGAGTGCTTATGTTGAGAAAGCCTCACGGCACTAACAATGGATAACAAACCAGCTGCTGATAAATCATTTTAAATAAACAGACATCATTAGTCTAGCCGCGTGAACTATGCGACGTAGTGCGTACCAAATCCAAACCCAGGTCACCCAACCCAACCTAGTTCAACCCAATTCATCCCAACTGAATTCAACCCAACCAAATCTAAGTTATCTAACTGAATCCAACCAAATCTAACTGAATCCAAGCCAATGCAACCAAACCCAATTCAACCCAACCAAACCCAACCCAATGCAACTCAAACCAAATCAACCCAACCAAATCCAACCCAATGCAATCCTAACCAATTAAACCCAACCTAATGCAACCCAAGCCATTACAATCAAAGCCAATTTAACCCAACCCAATTGATCCCAATTCAAAACAACCCAATCCTTCCCACTGCAACCCAGCCCAATTCAACCAAAACCAATTCAACCCAACCCAATTCGAATCAACCAAATTCAACCCCACCTAACTCAATTCAACCAATATTCGACTAAACTCAACCCAATCAAACCATATTTGACCAAAACCAATACAACTCATTCCAACGTGATTCAGCCCAATTCAACTACACCCAACTCAATTCAAGCCTTCCAAATTCAACCAAACCCATTTCAATTTAACCCAACCCAATTCAATCCAACCTATATTATTTCAACCTTATTCAATTCAAACTAAATCATATTATTCCAGCCCAATTCAAGCCAACCTAATTCAGTAAAATTAAATAGACTGAATTAGAATGTATTAAAATGCCTCAAGTTTTTATTTGACTGCACTAGATTTTATTACAATGAATTAGAATGCACTAGAATGCATCACATTGAATTAGGGTGCATTAGATTTCATTAGGTTAGGTACATTAGATTGCATTAGAACACTTTATATTGCATTAGAAAGTATCAGATTGAATTTAAATGCATTAAATTGCATTAGGTTACATTACATTGAATTAGAACGTATTAGATTGCATTAGGTTACATTAGATTGCATTAGGTTACATTAGATTGCATTATGCTACATTAGATTGCATTATGCTACATTAGATTGCATTATGCTACATTAGATTGCATTATGCTACATTAGATTGCATTATGCTACATTAGATNTCGCGTTGGAACGCAATAGATCGCGTTGGAACGCAATAGATCGCGTTGGAACGCAATAGATCGCGTTGGAACGCAATAGATCGCGTTGGAACGCAATAGATCGCGTTGGAACGCAATAGATCGCGTTGGAACGCAATAGATCGCGTTGGAACGCAATAGATCGCGTTGGAACGCAATAGATCGCGTTGGAACGCAATAGATCGCGTTGGAACGCAATAGATCGCGTTGGAACGCAATAGATCGCGTTGGAACGCAATAGATCGCGTTGGAACGCAATAGATCGCGTTGGAACGCAATAGATCGCGTTGGAACGCAATAGATCGCGTTGGAACGCAATAGATCGCGTTGGAACGCAATAGATCGCGTTGGAACGCAATAGATCGCGTTGGAACGCAATAGATCGCGTTGGAACGCAATAGATCGCGTTGGAACGCAATAGATCGCGTTGGAACGCAATAGATCGCGTTGGAACGCAATAGATCGCGTTGGAACGCAATAGATCGCGTTGGAACGCAATAGATCGCGTTGGAACGCAATAGATCGCGTTGGAACGCAATAGATCGCGTTGGAACGCAATAGATCGCGTTGGAACGCAATAGATCGCGTTGGAACGCAATAGATCGCGTTGGAACGCAATAGATCGCGTTGGAACGCAATAGATCGCGTTGGAACGCAATAGATCGCGTTGGAACGCAATAGATCGCGTTGGAACGCAATAGATCGCGTTAGAACACACTAGAGCACATTAAATTAAAATCATTAACAATTGATGCCCAATTAATTAATTAAGGCGTCATTTGCTTTCAACAAATAATGGAAACGGAGACAAGTTTTTTGAGCAGTAGCATTGGGAGCGCCAGACTTAAGCACAATATGATCGGGTGACAGATACAAGCAATCAAACAAGCTGAAAATTTGTGCGGTTACGGCAGGGCTGGTCAAGCAATCCATAGTTTATGATCGGTCTTCGAAACCTGGGCCATAGTTTATGACTGGTCTTGAATACCTGAGCCATAGTTTATTATCAGTGATGAATACCGGAGCCATAATTTATGATTGGCCATGGATGCCGATTTAAGGTCAAGGTGGCTGATGGAGAGCTTGAAAAAGCGCCGACATCTCAAGCTGGAAGGCCCTTCTTTACAGCCTGGTACCTGGGGCGTTAAAGTTGCCCTTATTAAAGTTTGTTTTGTCAGAATTTCGATGAAGATTATGTTTGCAACACATATTGAAGACTGCCACAACGAGGCAATACATCTTGGGTACCTTTGGCATCATTTTTGGTCTACAAATGCAAAAATTAGCGATGCAGTCACTAAACTCTTCACCCTGGCTAGCTTGAATGTGTTACTCTGGTAAAAAATTCTATAATGATATAATTTATGTTTATATAATTTTATTGAAAAATTATGGCTAATAGAATCATCTTATTATCTGATTACAAAATTATAAAACTTTTGTGTCAGCTCCGAATTTAAAATTAGGGAAAAATATTGAATCAGGTGTGATTACATTACGGTAATATGATTTATTTATTTGAATATTTAATTTCAGCTCTGGACACAAGGACTGCTGAGTGACTGTATGCATGCTTCCAGTCCTGATGGACTCTTTTAGGTTTGATTATTAGGTTTGATTATTATGTAACTGTTTCTTATTTATTTATTTGAATATTTAATTCCAGCTCTGGACACAAGGACTGCTGAGTGACTGTATGCATGCTTCCAGTCCTGATGGACTCTTGCTCGCCAGCACACTAGACGGGAACTTGCACGCTCTTGATGCTAACACTGGCACCATCAAGTGGACTCTTCAAGATGGTAAATAACTTTGTAAATTATACAATAAATAATTTTGAGATTGATAGTAAGTAAGATTTGTCACTGTTGACTTATAGTCAGTGAGTATAGCAAGTGGATATGCATAATGCTACATTCTAGTTACTAGCATTTTATTTTTATTTCTTATAAAACAATTTGGTTTTGAGTGTTTTATTATTTTTTAGCTTATGAAGTGAACTTTTAACCTTTAACAAATGATCAAATTGTCCTATAATTGAACTGATTACTCCTGACAATTAACGCTTTAGATTTGTTAATGATTAAAAAAAGGCTAAAATTGATATCATTACTGTACCTCTTAAATTGAAGTTAATTTAAAAAGTATGATGCATTACATTAATTTTGTGATGTTAATATTTTGATGCAAAAGTAATGAACTTGAAACTCATTTTTTGAAATGGGAAACAAAAGTTCCCATTGTTCATTCGACAACTCTTGTACATTACAAATAGAGCAGCTGTATAGACTAATGTGAGTTATGTAGGCACTTAATTAATAGTTTCCTGCTGGTATTGGGAATAATTTGGCTCCATCTTTCAATTAACAGAATTCAATGTGGCATTTTTGCTTATTTGCTTTGTATCAAATTGTACAGATCCTGTGGTGAAGAATCCAAAAGAATCATCGAAGTCATCCATGTGAGTTGAACCACTTAGAAAGTGATACATATCAAAGCTCTTGATAATTATCACTAAAATAATTCAACAGTTCGAATTTGAAAACTGCTCTATTCTCAGCTCTTGCTTGCCAATTTATAGTACTAAGGTTTGTTTACTTGATTTTGACTAGGTATTAGAAATTTATACCTTTAAAATTTTGATATTGATAAACTGTCTGTCATTATTCGCAACGTTTTTTTGATTATTTAGAGTTTCAGTGGACCTTCAAATATGATACAGTAATTTTCTTTCTTCAGCTTGAATAGATTTTTCAACTGCAAACAAGAGAATTTTATGAATTTACAGTAATAAGATAATTCTGTTGAATGTGCTTATATTTTTATTTTTTACTTTTGTTGTAAAGTTGAGAATCAAAGTACTTCCTTGAAATCTGAAAGCATCATAACTGCAATAGATTTCTGTTTGAAATGCATTTAAGAAAAATCTATCATGAAGCAACCTCTGACAAATCCCATGAAATGGGATAGGGATTTCTTCACCTTCCTGTCACTGGTTCTGCAAGACTGCTGCATTGTAATTTACCTAATTTAAAAAATTGTATACTTAATGAAAAAATTGCACTGCTAATAAATGTTAGCATGTATTTGTGATAAAATTCTCATATAATGATTCTTCTTCCAATCCTTCATATAATTAAATCTGATACTTGATCTATCTACAGAGCCCAGTTTTTTCCCAACCCCCGTGATGGTTCCCTATACCGCTACACTCTTGGCACGTCAGAACATCCTCTGAAGAAACTACCCTTCACCATCCCTCAACTGGTGGAGAACTCGCCTTGTCGCAGCACAGATGGGCTCTTTTACCTTGGTAGGACTTTCTTCCTATTTCTCTTGCATACTTTTTCGTTTTTATGCATTAGATTTATTTCATCTCTTATGCATACATCTCTTATGCTATGCAACTCTTATGCATACATCTCTTATGCATTCATCTCTTATGCTAAATATGAAGCTATTTAATGCATTTATCTTCAATAATACAATGACTAAATTATATGTTAATGCTGCTGCTTATCAAATCATGTAGCCAAGAATTGATTATACTGTGATTTAAAGTTATTAATAATCTCCATCAAACTACAAAAAAGTATACCGTACCTATTCATGCTCTGAGAACCCAAGAATTATAGACTCTGCATACAGCAATGTTTCTGATTAAAGTGTCTTGAACCCAGTAAAGTTTATTCATACTTTGACACTGCAAGAATCATAGACTCGTCATACTACAGTGCAGCTGATTAAAGTGTCTTGAACCTAGTAAAGTTTATTCATACTTTGACACTGCAAGAATCATAGACTCGTCATACTACAGTGCAGCTGATTAAAGTGTCTTGAACCCAGTAAAGTTTATTCATACTTTGACACTGCAAGAATCATAGACTCATCACACTACAGTGCAGCTGATTAAAGTGTCTTGAACCCAGTAAAGTTTATTCATACTTTGACACTGCAAGAATCATAGACTCATCACACTACAGTGCAGCTGATTAAAGTGTCTTGAACCCAGTAAAGTTTATTCATACTTTGACACTGCAAGAATCATAGACTCATCACACTACAACGTTGCTGATTAAAATGTCTTTAACCAATTAAAGTTTATTCATGCTTTGACACTGCAAGAATCACAGACTCATCACACTACAGTGTATCTGATTAAAGTGTCTTGAACCCAGTAAAATTTATTCATACTTTGACACTGCAAGAATCACAGACTCATCGTACTACAGTGTTTCTGATTAAAGTATCTTGGTGCCAGCATACAACAGTGTTTCTGAATAAAATGTCTTGGTGCAGGGAAGAAGGTGGACTCGTTCACTGTGGTGCACCGGTCGACGGGAGACAAGCAGTTGGTGTTGGGCATGCAGAGTGTGCTGGAGCAGTGCGCTCGCACGCCTGCGATCCCACGGAGCGAGTCGTTGTTCATAGGACGCACCATGTACAATGTCATGCTATATGAACAAAACACGGGACATCGCTGGAACGTTACCTTCTATGACTACACCACCACCAGTGACTGGCAGGAGGAGGATTATGGTGAATGTTGGCTCCTTTTGGTGTGCGTGTTTCGGACAAATGTGCACTATACTAATGGGATCCAGTCTATTTAATGTCCTCGAGTCTATTTAATGTCCAAATTAAAGCCTATGGAGCCTTATTTAGGAGCCTATGACGTCTGATAATATTGTTATGGTTTGGTGTGTGTGTTTCGGACAGATGTGCACTATACTTATGTGATTAAGTCTATTTAATGTCCTCGAGATTATTTAATGTCCAAATCGCTATTCAGGAGCCTATGACGTCTGATAATATAGTTATGGCATAGTTTACATTGTTACATAGGATAGTTTACATTGTTATTGTTATGGCTAACAAAAAATCTAAATTTTTATTCTCAATCTTGTTCAGGAGCTTCAAAGTTATTAGATGTTCTTCCTTCGCAGGCCTGGTACACTACGCAGGAGCTGGCAGCTCCACACTCATGACTCTGGACAAGGCCACAGAGAGCCTCATGTGGACAGCCGACCTGGACTCGCCAATTGTAGCTCTTTTCACCATCACCTCTGATGGTGAGAATTGAATTCAGTGAAATTTTCAATTATTCAGAAATATGATTAATAGAACGATGTTTATGTTAAAATACTGGAAGAAAATTGAGTCTGTTGCTGCAAATAACTGGCTGCCTCTCCTGCTAAATTGTCCACTAATTCTGTCAATAGCTAACCCATTACTTGCTTCCAGACGCGCTAAATTGCAAAGTGTCTAATTTCACACGGAAATGTAGTTGTGCAGTTATTTTCTTTACTTCTGAAGATTTTCCAATATATACTTGAATCCTAATCAGGTAAGCATATGGAAAACTGTTTTGGAAATGCGATCGCAAACAATGTGATTTAGTGATAGTAAATCATTGTTAAATTCTGCCATCTGTGTCTGAAGTATATTTAATTTAAGATTGCATTATATTCATTTACAATTTCATTTTTTGCAGGCAACTTGATGTCAGTTCCAATGACTGTAGTGGCGTTCCCGACGCTGCAACGCTACATACGAGAGATATTGCGTCGTGGCAGCTTCCTGCTTACCACCCAGTCCCACCAACCCATCCAGCAGCTCAGGTGCGTTGCATCAAACCTAGTATAACAATAAGTTCGTCTCTGGCCAACAGCCCAAGCATATACCTCGGAGAGAGCAGTCTCGGCAGCACGTATGTCATGCCTTCGCTGGTAGACGATCAGATGGCAACCATCAAACGTCGGCCAAATCCACGTTTACTTTTGGATGGTCCTGATGCATCCAAGTCTCCAGACTCTGATCATGAGAAGCAGCAAGCACCGCCAGCTTCTCCTACAAAATTCGATTTTGACCGCAGCAGTGAAGGTTTATTCTACTTTATTATACATGATATTATCTATAAGGAAATGGTATACTGATTCCTGTGAACTATGACAGATATCAAGTAATGTTTACTAGGTACTCGACATGATTTTTATTTTTTAGACTGAACTATCGTATGAAATTTTCATTTATTGGCACGTGTCTTCCAAATAAGTAATTTCTTGTATCTTTTTTAGGCTGTATGTTTATTTTAAAACAAATTTTTATTCTCATACAGAATATGCAAGCTCTTCAGCCAACCCATTCAGCCGCTCAAGTTCTAATGCTCATTCAGAGGCTGCAAATTCAGATGAAGTTCATGAAAGCAAACCGAAGATTCCTGAGATGTTTGACGACGACTTCCCTGTAGCCAGCCAATCCTATAGGATAGAGGACGGGCTGTTTGCTCACTGTAAAATTGATGAGTTTAATAACCCTGAGGATGTGGTTGTATTGGGTAAGAATTTTCCTCTTTTGGAAAAGATTCATGGCGTGATTCTTGCTTGTATTTTATTGATTTGTGGTTTATTAGTCTTTTTGTTTATTGAAAATTTGTTCACTACTGACTATTGCTGTGAATTTCTTTCGAACCTGACTTGAAACGTGTCAATAATATTTCAATTTGACATATTTTACGTTTCAATACATATTTTTGCGTCGTTTATACATGAATTGATTTGTAATCCCTTAGGCCACTACACTGTACCAGACCAGCTTCCTGAAGACATGTTCCCCTCTCCCTCGGACCACGTACCTCTGGGTATCACTTACCTAAGAGAAACTGAAGGCTCTGTATACACGGGTGATGATACCGACTATATCGACTCTGACGAGGACTACATCGATGCTGATGGCGGAGGCCAGCATCAGAACAAGAAGCGTCCAGCAGAGACGTCTTCTGACAAGAAGCCTTTAGTACAGGACGACAGAACCTCCCATGAGTCTTCACGTAAGGAGGGAGCAAGGGAACCTGGTCAGTTGCTGAAAACACCGTAAATATAAAATGTTATATTTAATTGCAGGAAGAAATCCTGTCGTTTTATTTGCATGATTCTACCTGAAAGAGTGAAAAAAGTTATATGAGAATTATTCAACCCGAACTTGTACTAATTATTTGCAGTACTAATTATTCATATAAGAGAATTATTCAACCCGAATTAGTACTAATTATTTGCAGTACTAATTACTCATATAATTTAATGCTAATTAATATTTATTGATTGCATCAATAAATAATCTTATTAAATGATGCTATTTAATCTGAATGAAATATTTAGGAGTATGAAAGGCAAGCAATACAGTACTTTAGCTTGAGGCTGTGGGGGTGGCAGTTGTATTTACATATTAAAAATGTGGAATATGTCTGTCATGTTCAAGAAATATTCTCGTTTCTTGATACATATTTTCTGATCCTAATGCGTTTTTATAAGATTAGGTTTACTGAGAAGCTACTTCCTCCTCTACTTTCTAGTTATCGACCTCAATTTTTTGATTATTGGAATAGTTTAATTATGGAATTTACTTTATTTTGAAATTATTTAATTTATTTCGTGATTTATTTGAAAGCGACGCGGCAAGACATGCCTGTACGCCCCTACACGGCGCTCACTGAAGGCGTCATCGTGTTTACCGGCCTGTTTGTGGTGGCGGGACTCATCTACTGCATCTACTTACTGCATCACACTGTGAGTAGCGCGTCTACTGCATCATCTACCTGCTGTACCATACCGTGAGTAGCGTGTCTACTGCATCACTGCATCTACCTGCTGCAGTGGATGTTAGCAGTACTCATGGCAGTGGTATGCTGGGCGTTTCAGTTTCAGGCCAAATTTTGATTTTAATTTCGGTCTCATTTTATCCAGACAAAATAAATCAATGAAGTCCATTTGCCTGTATGATATCATTTAGAACAGCAATTTACAGTTAATTCCTTACTTTTAATCTCTCATATAATATAGTACTAATTTTCACGCGAAGGTCAAGGAAAGGTCATTTTTCAAAAAAAGGTCAAAAGCTCGAAATGTTCAGACATAGGTCATTTTAGTACAATAATTTGTATTTATTGCAGCAAAACGGATGTCGAAATTTTCGAGCAAAGATAGGTAATTATAATTAAACAATTTGTATTTAATGCAGCAAAACGGAGGTCGAAATTTCCAAGTAAAGATAATTATAATTAAACAATTTGTATTTATTGCAGCAAAACGGAGGCAAATCTCAGGCAGCGAGCGCCCGCAGCGGGGGCGGCAGTCGGGGGTCGCAGGGCGTGGGGGGCGCGGGGGGCGAGGGCGAGGTCACGGCACAGCTGGAGCAGCTCGAGGACGGCAGCATGAGGGTCGGCAAGATCTGCTACGAGCCTCACCTCCTCCTGGGCAAGGGCAGCGAGGGAACTGTCGTCTACAGGTCAGTGAGGGCGTCTACAGGTCAGTGAGGGAACTGTCGTCTACAGGTCAGTGAGGGCACCTGCATTGAGGGCATCGTAGTTTGCAGGTCAGTAGTAACTCGCGTTTGACTGAGATCTTCTCGGCAAAATACCTACGACTATGAATAATTATATATAATCTTTTTTGGATGATATCTATAATACTAAAGTGATCCATAAATGCTTAATTCTGAAAATAGTGGAACGATGATGTCGAAAGTGTGAGCAGATCCTGTTTTCAGTGCCAGAAATGTTGTTTTAATTGTTTATAACTGATTCTGTTATGATCAAAAATGCTTTAGCGTTGAAGTAGGTTTTTCTTCTCCCGAAGTGAATGATTCAGTATTATTGATGTATTATATCTGCTGGGACTCAACGAATGTTTCAGGACTACTTATGTATAATTTCGGCTGGGACTAACATGAATGTTGCAGGACTACTTATGTATAATATCTGCCGGGACTAACATGAATGTTTCAGGACTACTTATGTATAATATCTGCTGGGACTAACATAATATCGCTGTTAACAGAGGGACGTTCGAGGGTCGCGTGGCGGCGGTGAAGCGTGTGTTGCCGAACAGCTACCGCATAGCGGCGCGGGAGGTACAGCTCCTGCGCTCCAGCGACCACCATCCTAACGTCATCCGCTACCTCTGCACTGAACAGGTCACCTGCTCCTCAATATATGTTGCTGTGCAGGTGACCTGCTCCTGAATATATGTTGCTGAGCAAGTGACCTGCTCTTGACAGCCCTGAGCAGATGGCCTGCCTTAGAATGTCTCTGCTCAGAGCACATTACCCATGTGAAGTCGTTCATGTAGTAGACATTCTCTCATGACTGATCGCTTGCTTTTCCTACCTAACCGTGTATGCGACCTCAATACGAGGTTTGTTCTTGTGTTCATTATAATACACAAGTTTGTACAAATTAAAATCAGATTGTAACTTTATTATAATGAGTATCACGCATGAGTGAAGCATCGAACTGACGCATCAGGTCAACGTGTTCAAAGATCTCGAACACTTGATGGTATCCAAACACTTTTTTAGGGAACGCCTTTCAATATTAGTATAGTTTGGTCAATAGTTACGTTACTTGTATTGTCATTTCGGTTTTTGAGTGAACTATTACGTCACCTCCTGTAGACCTGATATGTAACTTGTCTTTGTTATGTGATCCACCACAGAGTGACACGATTAGTGACCGAACCTGTGACACGATTACGGATTAATAGGCAAGATCTAGCAAGACACAAGGTTTATATATAATTTTCTAGTATTTATCGTTCACTTATTGTTATGGTTCTTCACATCTCAATTTAATCATCCTTTACTTACGGTCATTGGTCAAATATCTTGAGTCACTGCAAGCTTATTTATAGAATTATTCCCTTCAAGTTGCTATACACTCGATGGCATGATAACACCTGGTGTTCCGATACATAACACTTAACTCTTGGTGTTCCGATAACACTTGGTATTCCGATGGTATGATAACACCTGGTGTTGCAGTGTCGGGAGTTCCGGTACATCGCACTGGAGCTGTGCGACGCCACGCTGGAGCATTACGTGGAGCAGACGCTGGATGGCCTGCCTCCCGACCCTGCCACGGACAAGCTGGTGCTGCAGCAGGCCACGCGTGGTCTGGCTCACCTGCACAGTCTTAATATCGGTACCTACGTGCTTAGCGCTATTTATAATAGCGTTTACTTTGCTATACTTTGTTGAAGCCTTTATTCAGCATGAAGCCTTTATTCAGTATGAAGCCGCTAAGTTGTCAATTAGGTTGTTAAGTTACCAATTTGGTTGCTCGGTTGCCAACTGGGTTGCTAAGTTGCCAACTATCTTGCTTAATTGCAAGTCTATTGCGAAGTTGCCAGATATGTTCCTAAGTTCAAGTTGTGTTCATCAGTTCACCGCTGCTAAGTTGCCAAGTATGTTGCTTAATTGCAAGTCTATTGCTAAGTTGCCAGTTATGTTCCTAAGTTGAAGTTGTGTTCATCAGTTCACCGCTGCTAAGTTGCCAAGTATGTTGCTTAATTGCAAGTCTATTGCTAAGTTGCCAGTTATGTTCCTAAGTTCAAGTTATATTGCCAGTTCACCGCGACATCAAGCCGAGCAACGTGCTGCTGCAGCTCCCACGGTCAGGAGCGGGGGCGTGGCGGGACGCGAGCACCTCGGAGGTGACGGGTCTGCGGGTCCTGATCTCCGACTTCGGGTTGTGCAAGCAGCTCGAGGCGGGCCACGGCTCCTTCACCAAACACTCCGGCGTTACCGGGACCGATGGCTGGATCGCTCCTGAGATGATCAGGCTCGATCTAGAGGATCAGAGGCCGGTGAGTCATGATCAGGCTTGATCTAGAAGATCAGCGACCGGTGAGTCATGCCCCTGAGATGATCAGGCTTGATCTAGAGGATCAGAGACCGGTGAGTCATGCCCCTGATATGATCAGGCTTGATCTAGAGGATCAGAGACCGGTGAGGCATGATCAGGCTTGATCTAGAGGATCAGAGACCTGTGAGTCATGCTCCTGAGATGATCAGGCTTGATCTAGAGGATCGGTCAAGGATCAGAGACTGTTGCAAAATTTTCGAATCAAATTCAAACGTATAATCCAAGTTATTATGCTGACAGACGCGGGCGATGGACATGTTAGCTATAATGACTGCTTATGTCATTAATTTTCATATTATAATAATATATGTAAAAATGAATCTCAATACATTTATGTCAATGTTAAGTGGCTCATTTATTTGTATTCGTTGTTTAAATAGCATATAAACTAGGCAGCCGCGCGTGTAAGGCATGTCAAATTATTACGAATATCAACCATTTTCTTATGTGAATATAATCACACAAGTTAAATGGAAGGCCAAAACATTTATGTGCCTGCCATGAGCGTCGTTTACTTCTGCTAAAATGATGGCAGACGCGCGTTATTGTCGAGTCGTCCATTATAGTTTCTAACATCATCATCCGTTTTCTTACATTAGTATCGTGATGTACCTTATATTAAATGTAATGATAATATACTTATTATTATTCCTCATTCATTTATTGATGGTACAGACACGGGCTGTGGACGAGTCGTCTATTATAACTTCTGACATAATCATACGTTTTCTTACATTCGTATCATGATGTATATTAAATGTAATGCCAATATACTTATTGTTATTAATCGTGATTCATTCATTGACGGTACAGACACGGGCTGTGGACGTGTTCTCGCTGGGGTGCCTGTACTACTACGTGGTGACGGGAGGCCAGCATCCCTACGGCCCCTGCATCACACGTCAGGGCAACATTGCTGCCGGCCTCAACGAGTGAGACTCTTGCGTGATATTTTGCTTATGTTATTGTTTACCATCCTCAGTGTTATTCTTATTCTGTATTCTTATTCAGTGTTATTCTTTATTCTTATTCAGTGTTATTCTATTATTCTGTATCTTATTCTATTCTTTTGCTGTTCTTCAGTCTTGTTCCTTACCATCTTCACTTGTTATTCTTTACCGCCCGTAGTGTTATTCTTTACCACTTTCGAGACTATTATTTCCGAATTCAATGCTATTTCTATTCTAATGCATGGTAACGAAAGGTACTGTCAGTACAGTAGATGAATGAATAACCCCATTAGACCACTGACGCTAAAACTGCCCAGAATGTTATTCTCCAATGTTATTTTTAGCGCTGTGTTCTTACCCATTACTACGGGGCCACCCATTGACCGTCTCCAATGCTGTTTGTACCTAAAACGAACATGTTTTAGGTACAGGGTGGCCTAGTGGTTACAGTTCAGAGTACCAAGATTGGCGCAGAGAGGCGCGGGTTCGATCCCAGCTCTGTGCGCCAGTTTCTGGTCAGAATCGGCAAGGAGGCTGGGCGGTTAAGCACAGCAGAATTGTAGCAGAGAGTTGCGAGTTCGAGACCGCAAAATGCTGTGAATGAACTGGGATGTTAAGAATCGGCGACAGGCCTACGGCCTAATAACGCTGGAACCGCTATTATTATTATTATTAAGGGTCTGTTAACGATAGTTATCCTCAGGGTTTAATATAATGAGGGTCAATTGATTGCAAGTCGTTGTACGTGGTTTAAATTAAATGACATAGTTTGAAAGCTGGTTGTCATTCAGGTGCGGTAGTTGCATAGAGTCAAATAGAGTACGGTACATATTAAGCTGCAAATTATTATATGCTGATAGAAAATCTGGGTGTCTATGTGGTTTCATTCCTGGAACATCATCTTTTTATTTTTCTCTCTTAATGTGACGTGGAAATTACGGAATTTCGGTTAATAACCTCAAGTTAAATAAAACTGGTGAATAAACTAAGTTATGAGAAACGATTTCCTCTCCGTATTATATTGTGCTGAATTTTCTTGACGTTTATCGCATATTTACGCAGCATTCAGCGATTTTTTCACCATTGCTTGCCTTGTTAATCCTCTTCATTTGTTTATGTGTCCATCACCTATCTCACAAATCCCTTACCTTAACTATCCTATGTAAGAGTTTGGAACGTAGCAGTCCCAGGCCACGCTGTAGCGCCGCCTTATATACATGTTTTGTGTGCAGTTTGTCAGGCACGAGCGACGCGTGCCTCACTGACCTGCTGGGGGCCATGCTCAGCAAGCGACCACAGGCGCGACCTCCTGCCAGGGCGGTGCTTAAACACCCCTTCTTCTGGGACAGCGCCACCACCCTCAACTTCCTGGTGGTGGGTGCTGATGGCTGCATGGTGGTGGGTGATGGTGGTGGTGGTGGGTGGTGGTGGGTGGTGGTGGGTGGTGATGGGTGCTGATGACTGGTGGTGGGTGCTGATGGTGATGGCTGGTGGCGAGCATTCAGGATTATGAACCTATCCTTACACCTGGTTTTATTAATCATGCAAGTTCTTCTTAGTCAAGTAACAAATCTTCTGTCGTGTAAGTGAGAGCTGACGTGGGCTCTTGTTTACATTGAACTCTCTGGTGTTAAGACATCGCCTGATAAGTAAGATGATTGATAAGGTGATCGATCGATCACAGTAAAGGTATTTCAATAAGAATCATTGTGTGAATCAACTAATAAGGCCATTTGTACGTAATTTGTATTATTGCCAGGACGTAAGTGATCGCGTGGACAAGTTCCCCAATGACGCGGCCAGTTGCCTGCTGGAGCAGAACAGCGAGAGCGTGGCAGGCCAGTGGGTGTCTAAGATGCATCCTGAGGTGTACAAGGACCTTAGGATACACCGCGACTACCGGGACAGCTCTGTTCGGGACCTCCTCAGAGCTATACGTAATAAGGTACCGGCATCACCTGCTCAGGGGCCGTATTATCAAAACTTCGTAAGTACGCAAAATCGACTTACGAGTGGCGTTGCTATGACAACGTAATACTAGCGGTGGTATTATAAAAACATTTGCGCGATAAAAATTTGCGCGGGGAAAAAATTTAGGCTTTTAGCTAAGACTTGCGTACGAAAGTTTTGATAATGCCAAAACTAGGGTGTATTTACTTACCACAGAACTTTTTTGTCGTAAGTACAAAAAGTTACGAAGTTTTGATAATCCGGCCCCAGAGCTATACGCAATAAGTCCGCCTTATATACATGTTATAAGAGTTTGGGACGTGGCAGCCCCAGGCCACGCTGTAGCGCCGCCTTATATACATGTTATAAGAGTTTGGGACGTAGCAGCCCCAGGCCACGCTGTAGCGCCGCCTTATATATACGTTATAAGAGTTTGGGACGTAGCAGCCCCAGGCCACGCTGTAGCGCTGCCTTATATACATGTTATGAGCGTTTGGGACGTAGCAGCCCCAGGCCACGCTGTAGCGCCGCCTTTTATACATGTTATAAGAGTTTGGGACGTAGCAGCCCCAGGCCGCGCTGGAGCGCCGCCTTTTATACATGTTATGAGCGTTTGGGACGTAGCAGCCCCTGGCCACGCTAGAGCGCCGCCTTATATACATGTTTTGTGTGCAGCTTGTCAGGCACGAGCGACGCGTGCCTCACTGACCTGCTGGGGGCCATGCTGAGCAAGCGACCACAGGCGCGACCTCCTGCCAGGGCGGTGCTCAAGCATCCCTTCTT